TCTGGGAATGACAAAAATCACATACTTCATTGTTGAGCGCACCTTCTTTCTTATACTGTTTTTCACACAGTAAACATTTCCGCATCGTATTGACAAGTTCCTGTCTCATCTTGGCTGCCCTTTCCACCTCTTCATCTGGGAAAAACCGCTTTATACAGCAGTTGCCAATGACAAGTACCTTTCCGGTATAGATGTTCTGGACAAAACAGTTCTCTTTGATGGGATGTGTACAAAGGCAGCGGTTTTCCTTGTCTAAGCGAAAACTCTCAACCTTCCATTCCCGAATGGCTTCCTCAAATAAATCGCTCAAAGATTCATTCGGTAGTTCCCTTGTGAATGTATTGAAATATGATGTCATGCGTGTTCAATATACTTACCACTGTTTATTGTCTATATCTTTAAATGGCCGTTTTGTCTGTTTTTGGTACCCTACTTATTGTTATAAAATCATGCCACAAGGTTCTCTTGTCGCCCATGACCAACTTTCTAACCGTTAGGTGACATAATGATAGGTCTTTGGCGAGTCTCCTTATCGACGGTGTGCGGATCGAGGTCTCATTACCGAATCGGTTCACCGTGGCAATGTAGTCAAATTTCGAATGCATTAGTGGTATGTTGTTTTACTATACTAAGAGGCATATCATTTAAGTAGTGTCTTTTTTTTCATCGCATTTGTCGAGTTTTTCTGGAACAAAAAAAAGCTACTTAAATACATACGTCCGTGTGTTATACAGATATATCACCAAATTCAAACCATGCCACAAACACTGCTTTTCCAAACTGCCAAGAAAATGAAGCATGCTAATCCTTCATTCAATCCTATCCCCGCATCTGTCGAGGACAAACGTCCTTTAGGCAAGTGGAGTGGTACTTCATACCTGTTCGAAAGAGATTTTCCTAAACGTGAACAATGGCAACCGGATTGCAATCTCGGTTTACTGGTATCTGATGACTATATTGTCGTGGATGTTGACGCAAAGCCACCCGCGCAACGATCCAAAAGTAAAATCTATAGTGAAGCCCTCGGAACAGTCGACTTTGCAGAACTGGTTGAGCAAAACGAACCTTTGCCCACTACACTCTCACTCACCACACCCAGTGGAGGAAAACACTTTTACTTTTCTTTGAGTGGTAAGGATGGCGAAAGTATCTTGAAAAATTGGACAGCATGCATGACGCGGGAAGACGGCTCTGTTATCGCAGTCGACATTCAGACAAAAGGCGGTTACGTAATGGTTCCACCCAGCAAGAAGGGATGTCAACGCTATGAATGGGACACAAAGGATGGTTTCAAGGTGCCGATGGCTCCTTTGCCAAACTGGATTCTTAAGAACATTCTTGATGCACATGGCAAACATCCTCAACATTTTGAGGCTCAGGAGTTTACAGAATCGCCGCACTTAAACAATGAAGTCAGCAATGAAGACATTGAAATGTTCAAAAAAAGCGAGTTCTGGAAAGACTGTTTCTCCATCTCTTCAAGACCAGATCACAACAATCTGTACATTATCACAGCAAGTGTGCCCTATGATTGCTCAATTTGCAACAGACGGCATGTTAACAATACCAATCATCCTTTCCTTGTCCGAAATGGGTCTACGCTTCGATTTGTCTGTAGACCAGGGAAAGGGTTCTCAAGATGCATCTCAAAAAACTATGAGCAGATGTATCGCGACTTTCATCCACTTACAAAAGAACTAGTCGAGGGAATGGATGTCACCAACCATGCTGTTTCTGAGACCCTTCATAAAGAACTCAAGGATCGAGTCTTTCCTACAGAAAAACATAACAAATGGCTCATGTATGATCAGAGTATCGGGATCTGGCGTGAAGAAGACAAGAATGTCATTATGCGTCCGATCCTTGATGACTATGTTCATTGTTTAAAGGAACTTGCTCTAATTTGTAATAAACTAAGCCAAGATGAAGAGGACGTATGGAGTGAACGCCAGGGGATCTGTAATTCTTTAGTCTATTCCATGTCTATGGTCAAGAAAAAGAATGATCACTTGGCCTCATTCTTTGAACTCATTAGGGATACACGAAAGGACGAACTGTTTAATCAAAAGAAACACTTGCTACACTGTGTAAATGGAGTCTACGATCTCAAAAAGGGAAAGTTTCGCAAGGCAAAGCCAAGTGACTATTCAAAAATGTCTACGAAGATCACCTACCTCGACTATGATGAACATCCTCAGGAGAAAAAAGCACTTGTTGAAAAGTTTTTAAATGACTTCACACTGGATAATGAAGAACGTAAAAAGTTCCTGTTGAAAGCACTGTCCTCGGCTCTAAGCGGCGATAATGAAGATCAGCAGTTTTATTTCTTTGATGGGAGTGGCAATAATGCTAAATCGACACTCATTAAATTAATGAAGAAGGTACTAGGAGATTACGGCGCTACGCTACCGACAGCACAAGTATCAAAACCTAACCTCAATGCTCAGGCTGCTTCTCCATCCTTGATGGCGTTGTTGTTCAAACGTGGTGGCTTTTTAACCGAACTGGAGGAAAAAACACTATACACTGAGTTTTTAAAGATGACGGCTGGAGGTGATTCGACAAGCGGTCGACAGTTGCACAACGAACAAAGAGAAATTGATCTGTGGGTCAAGATATTCATTGCTGTGAATGATCTACTGCAGATCCTCAATAAGACTAATGGCTTTTGGCAAAAGGTCGTAGTTATCCCATGTAATGCTCGTTTTGTTCACAATCCAGACCCTGAGAAGCCTGAAGAAAGACCACTCGTTGATGGGTTCACTAAGCAGATACTTGATTGCGCCGATACTTTTCTTGCACTCCTGGTCAAGACTTACATCACTGATTACAAAACCGCGGGCATGAAGAAAAATGTTCATCTGGATGATATATTGGAACGGGTTGAAAAATACAGAGTATCTCAGAACATCCCATTGCAGTTTATTAGCAATATGATCGAGCCTGCAGACGATACAAATGCTGTACTCATGAAGACATTAGATATGTCTTTCACCGAATTTTGCAAAGATAAGGCCTTTACAAAGACACCACAACTTGTTAGACAGGTGTATGAACTCATGGATTCAATGTTCCCACCATCAAACTCGAAACGACAGATATGGATCGAGAAGAAAAATCTCAGAGGCTGGAAAGGTGCTATGTTGAAAAAGGATGAAGAAAGTGAGGAAGAAAGTGAGGAAGAGAAAGAAGAGATAGCCATATCATATGAAGAGGTCGAAAAAGATTTCCTACGTTCTCGGTGGGCTGGGGCGTGAAACAAATTGGATTTCCTAGAACTAGGGCTTTTTCGGGAGATCGCCATTTTCGCTCGCTGCTCTGCAAAAACAGCTCTAGAATCCTAGCCCTTTTTTTGCCCGGTCTTCTCTACTTTTCAAAAAAAATTCATTTTTGAAATTAAAAATTGAAAATTGAAACCATTTGTGAGATTTGATGCCGGAAAATGGGCTAGAATGGCTAGGATTCTTGTCTTTCGGTATGTAGGGTATACTATACTACTAATAAATAAAAATATATATTCTTATATGTTAAATTATACTACATACATGTAGAGAGAGAGATTCCTAGCCTTTGAAAAACTAGAACAAGCTAGGACGAACTAGAGGATGTCAGGCTTGTCGACAGAAATAAACTACAGTGGTGATCATTCGCTTTCATCTCCACTATCTGCAAGGATGTTAAATCTCGGAAGTTGGTTCGCACGTTCTTCCAACCACTTTCTGTAACAGTCGCTGCACCTAGGATGACACCTGATCCAAGGAATCATTTTATGACATCCAAGACATTCACGTTGTCGGTGGTTCATATTTTCAAGGTTTTCTTCAAGTTAATATGGTTTTTTTAAGTACAACATTTTCTTGTTTACACCGTGCAAACGGTGTTAAAATGTTCTGTGCCTACAATATAATGGAACAATGATGCTTGTTTACACCGTGCAAACGGTGTTAAAATGTTCTGTGCCTACAATATAATGGAACAATGATGCTTGTTTACACCGTGCAAACGGTGTTAAAATGTTCTGTGCCTAAAAATATATTGGAACAATGAATTCTTGTTTACACCGTTGAAACGGTGTTCTGTTCTTGTAACTAAATATGAATGCCAAGTTTTTTTAATGGATGCCAAGCTTTTTGTTTGTAAATAAGTACATGTGGTCATCCACTTGTAAAAGATTACACATAAATACACTGAGACTTGTAACTTGCTACACCTGTCACTTACAAAGTACAACGCAGCCAGAAACACAACACAAACACAAAAACGCAAATAATGGAGCAAATACTGCATCCGGACAACCAGCGAATGATAGGAAACCTTGTACCTCACAATTTAGAAGATGACTATCAACCCGGCGAGAACAGCACCATGTTCTGTCCACCACAACAGTTCTGGCTCGTTCTAGGTGGAGATGATCCGTTCTGTTTATACTCTGCGTCGCATGGATCATTGCCAGTACCGGTAGCTCATGAACTCCACATCGGCATGTGGCATCACGGTAGGCTTCTATACTCACTTGACGTCAGTGACAGACAGGCGCTAGATCAAGCGTGGGTGTGGGATAATCCCCATGATGTTCGAATACGTCGCAATTATAACAGAACAAGTTCGAATATTTACAACATGACACTAGATTATGGACTGGGAATTCTGGGGAGCTTGAGTCTACTTCGGAATTCACCATCGGCGGCAATATATGAACAGATGAGTCCCAATCGGAGACTTGAGTTACAACAGTTTGTCATTGCTCGTCCGAACCTGCGATTCGACAGTACCATTTATGACCGAGCATATGAACAACACCTAAACTTTGATACAGCTCTTTACAGTACCTTTTATCATCAACATGTAGTACCTCGAACTCAACAACCGATTGACATTCCTGCGGCACTTACAGCTCAAGAACCTCAACAACCGAGTGACATTCCTGCGGCAACTCCAGCTCAACAACCGAGTGACATTCCTGCGGCAACTCCAGCTCAACAACCGAGTGACATTCCTGCGGCAACTCCAGCTCAACAACCGAGTGACATTCCTGCGGCAACTCCAGCTCACCAACTGAGTGACATTCCTGCGGCACTTCCAGCTCAAGAAGCTCAACAACCGAGTGACATTCCTGCGGCACTTCCAGCTCAAGAACCTCAACAACCTCAACAACCGAGTGACATTCCTTTGATAGCGCCAAGACCAGTTGTCCCTCCCCTAAACATTGTCCCTTCTGCGGTGGAGCCTAACCCATGCGGAATATGTTTTTCACCACTGTTGTTGCATGAAAACTGTACGACCATACCTTGCGGTCATACTTTCCACCATAGCTGCATATCCGAGCTCCTTCAAACTACACTTCCTCTGTTATGCCCTTTATGCCGTCATCGATTTACTAGTTCTGATCTCAGTAGTTCTACAAGAAGCAGTAGTTCTACAGGAAGCAGTAGTTCTACAGGAAGCAACAACAGACAACGTAGAAGACGAGCAAGAGGAAGAGAAGGAGAAGAACGTCCCTATGTCTATCATGGTCGTACAGTTCGTCAGGAAGGAGAATCGGAGGAAGCATATCAACGTCGTGTTTGTAACGACGAGGACGTCTTCGAGAGATCGCGAGTAAGCCCAAATCGGACGCGGGAAGCACGAATCGCGTGACCAACTCCACCGATTGGGTTACCGCGACCGAAAAAACCGGTTCGGAGAATGGCAATTGGCGCATTAGATTTCAGCGTGCCTCGTACAACCTGTGGAGGCCCGAGCCAGTGCGGAAAAGGAAGAGATCGGTACCGCCACCAATAAATCAGTTGCGGTGCAGCGACACCCATTAGTTCAGTTTAGTTTAACAGTTTATCCAAGAATCTTGTATAAAAAGGAGGTATTCAATAAAATAAGTCGGGGGCAGAAGCCGTAGCGACACAAAATCCCCATAACTCGCTTCTCAACTCCAATCTTAGGTTAACAGGAACCTAACAGAGCGCTTCAACGGCCTGATCACCCGTACCGAAGCCTCTAAATCCTGCTCGGTTCACAACTAACCGACTCTCCTTGCCTCTCGCCCCCAAGTCGCTACCGACGCCCAAAGAAAGGATTTGGAGACTACGATTCCTAGTACGGACACCCACACAACCTGCTAGGAGACCCAAGTTGTCTTTACTGTAGTCTACCAACAAAAAATCCACTACATGGTGGAGAAGCGCGACGAACCGCCTTCCCCTCTCAAATTCAGCTGAAAACCTTATTCGGTCGTACCGAAACTCTTGCGCAAACCGAGATCCGCTCAGGTAGCTACTCGGAAACCTTTTCTCTCGTTTCGGAGACAGAACTTCACGAAACCGAGAATGATGCCGGTCGAACGCTCACCAACGCGAGGCCGCTCACCTGTGATCCAGACTCGTAGTCAGGGTCCTGCGGAGGACGTCGAAGTCCCTCCCGCAACACGCCCAAGGCGTTCAGGGACCACTTCCGTCGAACCGGAAGCCCCTAACTTGGCCACGATGGCCTCTGAAGTGGCAGCGTTAAAAGAAGACATTGCCCGCTCGACTGCTGCAACGCAGTTGGCAACTCAAAACCTTACGGAACAGCTTCATAGGCTTTCCGAACGTCAGACAGCGGCGGATGAGCGCCTCGCACGAGCCTTAGAAGCCCTAGCGCATCGCCCGCTGCCTGGACAACCTCCCATAGCACGAGCTACAAGAGAACGGTCCGCAACCCCGTGGGAAACGGCGGACACACCAAGGGAGCGTACCGAACCAAGTTTTTCAGGTGCGGTGCCTCCAATCCAAGTGCCAGCGGCCCCGTGGGCCAGCGACACCAAGGTCGATTCCTTGAAAGCAAAGGACGTACCCGAGTTTACGGGCAGAAGAAACCAAGACGTTGAAGAATGGCTTAACAAAGTCCAACTTCTTCAAAACGTTAGCGCAACGTCGGATGCCAGGATGGTACAGCTCCTACCAGCCATGATAGCCAAGAAAACCCCTGCTGACGCTTGGTTTTACACTCTGGAAGCCCAGGAAACTCGCTCGTGGACCTGGAAAAGGTGGAAAGAGGAACTGCTTCGAGAGTTCCGAGATCCCCTAACCGAGTCCAAGCGCAAAACCGAATATGTGCGCTGCCATGCGAACCCCAAAGAATTTCGCAGCTTTCTCGCGTTCATCGACCACAAAACTCATCTCCGGCGCCTCGCTTATGGCGACCGGGCAAACATAGAATGTCCCGCTGACCAGCATTTCGACCTAATAGTCGAACAATTGCCCAGCGACATCCAAATCATGGTCAAATCCTGTAACGTCACGAACCTGACCAAATTAAAAGACTTCCTGCGCCTTTATTTCGGCTCTGATGACACCAGAAAACGAGACCCTTGCTACAGCGGTGCTGCAGAAGCTCAGAAGAAGTCACAAAAGACCGGAACCGACAAAGGCCCTAAGCAGACGGCTCTGCATAAAACCGGAAACCCCGAAAAGGGTCGCGATGGTCCTCAGAAGATGGTTCCGGACCCCAACAAGGAACCACCGGCACCCTGCAAATTCTGTCAGAAAAAGCATTGGAATGTTTTCTGCTGGCAGAACCCGAACCGAAAAGATCCTGAAGATGGAAAGAAAGGACCATATGGAGCACCCATGCCCTCAGGTTGGAAACCCAAACAGGAATCGAAGAAGGCGTACATAGTGGAGCTGGACTCGACGTCCGCTACCACCGAGACTCTTTTTTCGGCTTCGGAACTGGAAAGAACGGAAGCCGCTAATCAAGGATTCCACACCATCGGGTTCTTTCATTCACCCAAGCACTCGGAATCAACAATTTTGATGACCGCACCTCTTTCCAAGGTCACGGTGACCAAGGAAGAGGACCCCCGCACGCCCACGCAGGGCTGGGACCGAGTCTGGGACAACATAGCCATCATCTGGGGCACCCCGCAAGTGGCTCTGATGATGGGCAACAACCCCCGCGCGCTCAGCTTCTTCGCCAAAGAACCGAAGCGAGGCGCCGGGCACCTCGGGAACGACCCCTACGCAGTCGCGTGGAGTTCCCACCACCTCTACATCGCTGCCGCAGCCGAAGCTGACAAGGATCGAATCCTGCGAAAGGTCCGAGAAGATGGTACCCCTCGTTTGATTCTCCTTGCCTGGATAAAGCTCGACGAGCACGAGAAATTCTTGATGTGGAGCTCTGAAGATCCTGTTATCTTTGATGCGTACGCCAACCTGCAACTGGTGGCATTTCTCCTGACAGGCAATATCGTTCGCTCAGACTATTATTATCGTCGCGGAAACCCCAAATTTCGGCACGTTAAAGACCATCCACGTCTCCAAAGACACGAAGAGAGCGAACGGACGCGTATAGTCATGCTGGCTATCGAACAAGTTGCTCGCCAGAATAAAACAACAAAACCACAAAACGACAAAACTAGAGAACACTTTGAGAGTGTGATCAAGGCTACGGAAGCAACAATTAACGACATCGCGCCCCATTTCGAGATCGCGGTGCCTTCTATCAACGCCTTCTACTCAGTAGATTTAGGCGATGTACTCAAAAGCCAGACTAAGACCCAAACGCAGCCTTGCTGGACGCTAGCCGTCATCGCGCAGCTCTGGGCACCTGTGGTACTAGACACAGGGGCCTGCGAGTCTCTGATTTCCGACACGTACCAAGGCCTTCTGTTCTCCGAAACCGATTTGCAGGATGCGGAAACGATGGCTTTCAACGGCATTGGTGGACGTATCTCATCTACCAAGACAGTATGCCTCGAAACTTCCCTCAGAGGCCGCGGCGGAGAATACCTGACTTTCCGCGCCTACTTTCGGGTCATCGCGTACGGGAAACCTCTCATCATCCTAGCCAACGACGTTTTGGGACATTTGAAACTCCAAACCTTGGTTCAGGAACCCCCGTTACCCAGTTTCGCGGTGACGCTCAAGAATCCAGACATCCTTATCCCCTGCTCCATAACGGATGAGCTGGATACCGATCACATGCGCGGCACGCCATACAAAACCAAGCAGGGTGAATTCATGAAGGATGTGTCAATGCCACGGCTGACCAAAGCCAAAGCTCAGAAGTCTAGATTAACCATGTTAATCACGGGACAGACGCGCGTGGCAGCCCAAACTTTCCTCATCGAAAACCCTCTTGATGCCACCGCAGCTAGCACAACGGCCCCGTTAGGCCTCAAACTGTCCACCGCGACCCATAATTCGGTCGCGGACCCCGAAGAGAACATTTCCGAAGAAGAATGGCAGACACTTCGGAACAAATGGAACCTCAACTCTACAGAGAAGGCTCCAGGGGCCTTCGAAGCCCAATTAAAAGACGCGGAACGTTTCCACGTCGATCTCAAACGACCCAAACCCGTGGTCTGGGCCCTAATCAACATTCTACGACACTTCCATCAAGCCTTCAGCTATGAGGGTCATCTCATAGGGAACTACACCAAGATTCCTTATGCGCCTCGATTTATCTCGGCTCCGCCACCCCTTTCGAGGCCACGGTCGTACTCTCCGTTGGAGCGGACAGCCCTCGAGACGGAGCGAGACACCATGATGGGGCTTCAGAGGTGGAAACGAACCACCGAAGTAACCTTCGCCAGCGATCCTGTTATTATTCGCTACGCAGACAAACCCCCGCGGGTAGCCTTCGACTATCGCCGAGCCAACGACTGCATGGCCTGGGATCCATATCCCTTTCCCATCATGCTCGACATCCTGAACTGGATCGTTGCAGTCCCATTCCGATACATATCGGGAGGTGACGCAAACAAAGGATTCTACCAAATCGCCATCACCGATGCGTCGGTACGCAAATGGCTCGCGCTCAGACTCCATGACGGCATCTACGAACCACTCTTTATGCCCTTCGGACCCAAGACTGCCCCCTCGCACTTCTGTCGGGTGATGGACGACACCTTGGGTCCCTCCAAATGGCGAAATATCAACAACTTCGTCGACGATATCCATACACGAGCGGAGACAGCCGCGGAAGCCCTAGATGCCATCGCGGACTGGCTCGACCGCTTTTCCAGGGCCAAACTCACCCTAAGGCTCGACAAGTGTCAATGGCTCTTTCACCAGCTCACGGCCCTCGGTTTCGTTGCCTCCTCTCAGGGTCTCGCTACCGATCCAGACAAGGTCGCAACCATAGTCGATTGGCCACAACCCAAATTCATAGGTGACCTATGGTCATTCGTGGGTCTCCTAGGGTTCTACGCCCAATTCATTTCTCGCTACGCGGAACTCGTCCGACCCCTGCAAGACGCTATCCAAGAGGGCGTTCGCGAATACCGAGACCTTAAAAAGGGTCGCGCTGACCCGAAGAAAGGCGCTGAAAAGCTCAATTCACCATCCATGCTCGACACGGCGGTGGCCCCTACAATCACAGCCACCGGAGCCCGATTTGAGGTTTCGCAACATCCGAAATCTAGCTCCTCAGACCTACCGGCGGTCAATCTACGCCAATCATCGCTGGCGGACTTACCCATTGACCCCTTTTGTGTCGGACGCCTTGCTCGCAAGCGCCCCGACCAAGGTCTGCGCAGATTTATCGCGAAGCGTGAAGTTTCATGGACCGATTCCCGAAACTCTGCCTTCGCAGCCGCCAAGCAGGCTCTGACAACAGCTCCAGTGCTCGCGGCACCCAGAAAAGGGTTCCCCTACACCCTTCACAGTGACGCTTCCTACACAGCGTTTAATGTCACGCTCGAACAGTTACAGCCGGATGCTTCTAAACGCCCGCTGTGCTACCATTCCCGAGGCACCACCACCTCGGAAAAGAAGGCCCCCCCCGTCGAACTCGAGGCCGGATGCCTCATTTGGGGCCTCGGAAAACTCCGCCCATACCTCGAAGGCCTGCCTTTCACGGTCATTACTGATCACCGAGCTCTTTTGTGGCTCGCTAAATACAAAGGCGAGAACCGTAAGCTTCTCCGCTGGGCCCTCGATCTTAGTTACTGGTCCGAATGGATGACAATCGTTCACAAACCAGGACGTTTTCACATTGTCGCTGATACACTTTCACGGCTACTAGGAGCGGAAACCCTACTCTGCTCCACCGCGACCCAAATATGGGTGTCGAAACGCGGAAGACGACGGCTGCGCACCACACCAGCTGCTCTCGCACCTTCCTCGACACTGGCAGATGCCGTCTTTCGTCTGGCCTTACAGCCTGCACTCATTGCCGCCATCCGCGCTGGCCTCACCGGCCAGCTCCACCCCATAGCCCAACAGGCCCGCACGCTCCTATGGGAGACCAGCCCCGACACGTACACTACCGCCGACACGCGCTTTCTTCAGGACTGGCAACGTGCAGATAACCTGCTGTGGCACCGTTTTTCAGTCTCCGAAGACCTTTGGCGCCTTTACGTGCCCCCTGCTTGCACCCCTGAGGTGCGCAAGCTTTTTCACGAGGGGGGAGGACACTTCGGATTCGAAAGAACCTACGCTAGAGCTGCAGCGCAAGTCTGGTGGCCGAAAATGGCACAAGATTTCAGAAAACACTGCGCAGGATGTGAAACCTGTCAACGCTCAAAAAGGGTACCGCAACTGATTCCGGGGTTGCTGAAACCCATACCACCAGCTCCGGGACGCTGGACAGTCATCACGACTGACTTCGTAACCAAGCTCCCACTTACTTCCAGAGGGTACGACGCCTTTTGGTTAATAGCATGTAAATGCTCAAAGAGGATCCACGTATGGCCCCTCAAGAGCACTGCGACAGCTATTCAGGTCGCGGAACTCTTTATAGAGCGCTACGTCCCATTGCACGGCATCCCGGAGACCATTATCTCGGACCGCGACTCCAAATTTACGAGTCGATTTTGGCAGGAGGTCTGCAAAAACCTAAAGATTAATCAAGAGCTCACCACAGCCTACCACCCTCAAGGTGATGGACAATCAGAAAGAGACAACGCAACGGTCTTGCAGGTCCTTACCACAATGGTCAACACCCGATTAGACGACTGGGACACCTTTCTTCCGGTTGCGGAATTCATTATCAACGATACGGTACACGAGGCGACAAAAATGACGCGATTCAGAATGGACCTAGGCTATGAGCCCCACAATCCACTGGCGGACATCGTCGAAAGGCCGTCAGAAACCAGAAATGCAGATGCGGAGGAGCTCTGTAAACACCTCGGCGACCTAAACATCCTTATCCGAGATCTGATGATCGAAGCCCAGGATTCGCAGAAAAGATATTACGATTTATCGCGACGACATTTGGAGTTCCGGAGAGGAGATAAGGTGCTTCTGAGCACGAAAAACCTAGCAGGGTATGAGTCCAAGATCGCTCCGAAATGGCTGGGACCAGTCACGGTGACCGACTGTAACCCTCTCCGCGACAACTACGAGTTAAAACTGCCAGACAAGATGAGACGACTTCATCCATGGTTTCACATATCGAAATTACGTCCGTACCAGAAGCCTGTCGACGCCGAAACTGAGGAAAAGGTCGCGGAAGCACAAGCGGAGGATTCCGACGCTTCAGATGGCGAGTTTGAAGTGGAAGCGATAGTAGACCATCGAACCAGGCGCGGAAAACGTCAATTTCGAATACGTTGGTCCGGATACCCACCCCATGAGGATACCTGGGAACCAGAGGAAGCCCTAACAGAGGCTTCCGAAGCCTTAGAAGAGTACTGGAGATCCAGAGCTCCCACTAGCGCGCTAGTAGAGGACTCTTTGGTAGTCAGCCTTGCAGGCGACGCCCCGGAAGATACGGCTTATGCTTCCGACCACCAATGCTTCGCGGTTTATCCGGACGATAGCTCACGTGATAATCACGCCCTCTCACCAGAAAGAAAACCAGTTTCGCGTGGCTTACCTCACCAGTCGAGAACGCCACACCAAGCCTCCCGATCACGCTTACGCGCGTCCGAGCTGTCAAAATCAGCCGGCGACGACCTTAAAAGGACGCCCCTGCACGCTCCCCCTCTTTTTTCTTCTTCAACCGCCCACGACCTACTTCCCTTACACACTCACTCTGCTTCGCAAACCCCTTCTATCGACACCGAAACTAAAACTTCCATTTCTAACACAATGAACACCGATCTCAGAGGACAAGCAGGAGTGAGCGTACCCTCCACGTACATGTCCGGCTACCCTTGGGAGGAAGACTCGGGCGACTTCGAGGCCGAGGGCGTGCTGGATCGCCTTGGGGTTGCGATCGCTACCTGGGTTCACTCCTGGGTTCATCAGCTTCGGACCAACCCCAACGCGCCGCTGCAGACTCCAGGGCATGAGTTTTGGCTGGGAGTCGACGCTCCGAAACCTTACGCGGTGGGCCAGCCCCTCACAAACCACATCGCGGACCCCTACAGCAAGGCCACCGATGGTGGTGAAGCAGCGGTCGGAATAGTTGCTGACGCGAAAAAACCCGGAAAAAGAGGGCGCCCAGCTCCGTGCGCCGCTTGGCTCGACCGCGGGGTTCCCCAACACGAGGCGGGAAGCCGAAAAACGGCTCCGTTCACCGATTGGCCGAACGACGACGCCCACGAGTTTGCGTCCGCCGTCATTGAAGCAGCTAGGACGGTGCTCCTAAGGACGGCGAACGCAGCGGAAGCCTCTGCAAGGCTCACCAGACCCCGACATCACGAGCACGCGGAGTACCATTTCCGCGCGACAAACCTGAAAAGGGCCGCGGAGACCTTTACGGCCCTCTACGTAACCAGAACTGGCCCCGACGTGACCCCGGGTACCATCGTTCGTACCGCAACAGATCAAATCTGGTTTTGTTGCAACGTCGGTGGCCGTGCCAGTATCATCTGGGTCGTGAACCAAGATGCAGATGAAGCGGACCCCACAGATCCGGTACCGACCTGGTAATTGACGTCCCAACACCCCCGCTCGGAGCGCCGGTGCGTTGGCTCTTCAAAGGGGGGATGTAACGACGAGGACGTCTTCGAGAGATCGCGAGTAAGCCCAAATCGGACGCGGGAAGCACGAATCGCGTGACCAACTCCACCGATTGGGTTACCGCGACCGAAAAAACCGGTTCGGAGAATGGCAATTGGCGCATTAGATTTCAGCGTGCCTCGTACAACCTGTGGAGGCCCGAGCCAGTGCGGAAAAGGAAGAGATCGGTACCGCCACCAATAAATCAGTTGCGGTGCAGCGACACCCATTAGTTTAGTTTAGTTTAACAGTTTATCCAAGAATCTTGTATAAAAAGGATGTATTCAATAAAATAAGTCGGGGGCAGAAGCCGTAGCGACAAAAAATCCCCATAACTCGCTTCTCAACTCCAATCTTAGGTTAACAGGAACCTAACAGAGCGCTTCAACGGCCTGATCACCCGTACCGAAGCCTCTAAATCCTGCTCGGTTCACAACTAACCGACTCTCCTTGCCTCTCGCCCTCAAGTCGCTACCGACGCCCAAAGAAAGGATTTGGAGACTACGATTCCTAGTACGGACACCCACACAACCTGCTAGGAGACCCAAGTTGTCTTTACTGTAGTCTACCAACAAAAAATCCGTTACAAATGCCACCAGTTGCAGGTTGGCGTAATTCATGTGGTGTTGAACAATTACAGCTATTTCATCCATTGCTACCAGATCAGAGTCCACCCAGAAGACATCCCCAAGACAGCCGTCTTCTCGGACTTTTCGCAGGAGTGCCATTTCCATCACGTGTGGGCAGGGTGGGAGTAGAATTCCTTGCGATGATCCCAATCAGCGCGCCGAACAAGGAGATAGCACATGAAGTCCATGAGGTTCATTGTCTTGTGACTAGGGATACGTGATTCTATGAGGTCCATTCCCGCTTCCTTCTTCATCTGCTGCCGTTCTTTTGCAAATCGACGGCTTCCAGTCTCCACGGCTCGCTGGTTGGCGGTGTAGTGAAATGTCATACCACTGTTGTCTTGGCAGTAGAGAATATCACGCTTGTTTGGGTCGATAACGACAACATTCTCTGCTGCTCGACAAGCAGGTAAGTTTTTCTCCATGTATTGCACTTTAACTTCGTCCTCTAAACTCTTTGCTGACTTTCTCGCTCCATGCTTTCCATACTTGTCTGCTCCTGGGTGCTTTAGGTATACAGACACCGAGGTCCCATCCGTCGTGATCGAGCCTTCAAACTGCATACCGCGGCAAGACCGAAAAGCTTTGGTACGTAGATTACAGATGCGCAACCATAAATCGACCTTTTCGACAGTTTCCGCTTCTCTTCGCGCGATGCAAAGGATATGCTGGTAGAGAATGATGGTGTCGATCCGCACATGGCTTTGGATGAGAGACTGACGAAGAGGGATTGCACTGAACCGTCGAAATCCATGTTGTTCATACAGCCCAGAGAGTTTGCAGTATGCAGGAAAGAAGGCAAGAGGGTCTACAGCAACCGAATATGCGAGCGGCTGGTCGTCAGAAAGGGGAATGAAGGACCACATCTCTTCTAGAAGTCACTCTCTTCAGCGGTCAAGTCATCCAGCGACTCGGGCACGATATCAAAAAGAAAAACTGACTTTAAATAGCGTAGCCGAGTAAAGAAAGCTTTTCGCGCATCGCTTTTCGGTGGCAGTTGCCCTTTCCGTCCCTTCACGTCAAGCCGCAGATTAATGTACCGAAGGAGCATCTGCATGAAATGCTCTTGAACGTTGACTGTCAGGTTTGTCATCATACTCGCTGTCAGGTAATTGACTGATTGCTGCTTGCCTCGTAGATTTGGGTGAACGAAGCCAACGACTTGGCAGTACCATTGAACATATGGCAGCAAACAATCCCGCCATGCCTTCTTTGCTTCCTTTCTTGGATGCCAAGCCTCCCCCTTGTTGAGAAGATAGAGAATCACTTTGATGGTCTCCTCGTTCACGGTGAAGGTTGGTGCAGATAGGATGTAGAATTTGAGAGCATGGGAAGCGTGGTCGGCGAGTTGATGGATGATGGTGATGTAATCTAGAAGCCGTTGGCAATAGTTTGGCAGGAAAGCTTTTGCAAAGGAAGTCTTGTTGCAGGTATGTAAGGTGGGTTTGTCGAGTTTTTCAAGCTTTTGCTTCTTTTTTGGTGGCATTGATGATATCTGTGGGAAAAGATGAAAGCCTGGGAAAATGGGCGACGACAACTTATATAGGATTTTTTGGATCAAACCATAGTTCATGAGTCTAAATCGAGTAAAATTATGATTAAATTGGTTGGAATCTATGTACTAGTGCCAATACCAATCGGCTCCGCACTATGTATCGATAAGTTACGTATATGTCATGTTGATATTTCTATTACTCATGAGCGATATCAGGAAAGCATTCGCTTCCTGCTGATCCATCTCTCCACCGCTCAAATACTTTAGTGCAGTCAAACCGGGGCTTTCCTTGTCTTTCATTGACCTCGTTGTGCACCTCACAGAACCACTGGCTGAGTGCTCTGTTAGACGACACGTCCGGAGGCCGTCGCAGGACCTCTCCTTTGAGATGCTCAGCGCAATAACCACAAGGGTAGAATCGGCCCAGTGCGGATATGAGATTGCGCATCGAGTATTGTTCAGCGACCGAAGGATTTTCTGGGTAATAGGCCGCCATTGTATGTAGAAAAGTCCACGTCGATGAACCGAGAGTTCCAGAATCTGGTGGGCAGGGAAATGGAGCATATGCATCAGAATTTTTAGGCTGAGTAGGAACTGAAGCAGTCGTAACTGCATCAGCAGTAGTCGTCGCAGGTGCTTTTGACTTGCGATATTCCTTCGCCTGTTTCCGTCTCAGTGTGCGAAAATCCGAACAGACGCCACAAGATTTTTGCGTCTTCGAGTGCGTACTTGAGTGCGGATCCCCTGGACTCGGGGAGTGCTCGGTTGAAGGCATTCTGAACAGCCAGATGCGACAACAAGCGCGAGTCTCGGAGGAGACATGCTCGGCTTTCCACGTGAGAGAGATAGCGTGGCTGTGGAGGCTGAAGTGGCGTACTCCACAGTACGGTGAGTGAGCTGTAGTATGCGCGACATGGTCTCGGTGTGTTGAACCAATGTGTTTGTTTAAAAGCGTAAACTATGCAATGCCTCAAGTCAAGACACCCGACAGGGCGATTACTGGTCAATACGTAATAGTCTTATAACATCGATGCTTAGCAGCGTTCTCACGTCTAATGCAGAAAGGATTCGAACGTTCTTTGAACATGAAAAAGTGGGAATGATAGTTCCGAATAAAGAATTTCGGCATTAGCTCTGAGACAACTAAAACCGCACAATACCCGAAATCTAAGACATTGGCACCGAAAGCGACAATGGTATCTGAGTGGCACTTCAACACGACAGCTCAAATATCCTGCATCATACAATGTTCCGTTCCGGGTCCGCTTTGCTCTGTCGATTGGGAACCAACGTTCGGTAGAATATCATAGCGTAAACTAGGGTTGCCCGCGTGGATGTCCACAAATCACGCACCACGGTCGATTGACGAAGCCCGTGGTTTTAGTTGAGGTCTCGTGTTGAAGGCCTTTACATAGAAGAGATGGAGAACTTCTGAATCTGCGGTTGTTCAACTTCAACCTAGACGTGTTCGGCTCGCTGGCAACTTAATTCATGGACGTGGATATGAGAGACATAATGGACAAATGTAGAAACTCTGGTTTAAAGATGAGCACGCATTTCCGATTTGTATACCATGCGACTGGATATGGCAGACTGGAAAAGCCCGCTGGCACCGCCGGGCACAAGCTATTGATGACAGAGGGTGTCGCGCTCGATTCATTCAAAGGACGAGATGTGTTATTCGATCAAAGAAAGAGTTGGCCCAGCGGGCAGATTTCCAGGCTATGCGACAGCAGTAGCGGAGGAAAGACATACAGCTGTATAATCAGATGGGGGAGTAGGTACATCAGGGCGACGTTGGTACAGAAAGTGCAGGGCCCTGTGTTTGTCATACTAGAAAAGTGACATGAGTTGAATTGATGCATTTGTCTAGGGACAGTGACGATCGAACGATTGAGTCATAAATCCTAAGCACTGTCGCTAAGCCACTGCTGAGGCTGTAGGGAGGTCTGCTCACGACGCTTCCCCAGAACCTCAAATACTATCATAAGCTTGCTGCCAGTTCCCAAAACTGGCGTCAGATACTTTTAAATTGCCTTCTCGACGATCCTGGTACCGTTTTTACCCTAGTGCGCAGCTTGTTGCGCTCCTGGCCTACTGTAGTGTAAGAAAAAGGCATTAGCCTCTGGACTGACGCCTCCCCATCTTGCAGCCCATGTCTTACAGTCCGAGCTATTACAACGCCGGAGGGCCGGGGTCGGACTATGCAAATTCCCCATACGGCACCGGAACCAACACCCCAACTCGATCATATCCGCATGGAGCACCAGTTGTCTCTCGCCCCACATGGCAAACAGAGAAGGTAGAAGAAGAGCTGGCGCTGCATATTAAGAAGGCTCTTTCTCCAGAGGAAACCGCTCCCAAGCAAAAGCATGTTCGCGCCTGCATCGTGTACACGTGGGATATTAAAGGATCGGGTAGTTTTTGGATGGCGATTGAAACCTTCCCGGTGCTGGGGGACGAACTTGTGACTTTCAAAGCTTTGATTACTGCTCACAAGGTTATTCGGCAAGGGCATCCCAACGTACTGAAGGATGCAATAGGCCAAACTGGATGGTTCGACACCCTTACCCGTAGCGTACCTCCTCATAGTACCCGAGGATACGGCGTTCTTATTAGAGCTTACGTCCAATTCCTTTTGGCAAAGCTTGACTACCACCGTCTACATCCAGAATTCAGTGGAACCTTTGATTACGAGGAATATGTAACTTTGAAAGGAGTTGAGGACCCCAACGAAGGTTTTGAAACTATCAATGATCTCCTAGGTCTATTGGATAAGCTTGATTCTCTTCAAAAGTTGATCTTTGTGAACTTCAGACCTAGTTCCAATAATGAGGCGAGGATAGCAGCACTCGTTCCGCTGGTTGAGGAGAGTCATGGGATTTACCAATTCCTAATCAACATGTTGATGGCAATGCACAAGATCATTGGATCTGTGGAAGTACTTGCTCCCCTCCGGGAGAAATTCAATGCTGGTCACTACGCACTTTTTCGCTTTTACTATGAATGCTCGACACTTAAATACCTGACGTCGCTCATCACGGTGCCGAGATTATCACAAGATCCCCCAGACTTCCTTGCCCAGGGGCCCCCTACATTACCACCCCGAGGAGAGTCTCCCAACAAGCAAGCGGAGATTGATCTTTTCAACGAACAGCAGGCCGCATTCGAAAAGCAACTGATTGAAGACCAACAGCGTGAAGAGCAGCGGCTGCAAGCGGAAAGAGAATTGGAACTTGCGCGACAACGACAGCAGCAGCAGCAGCTTGAGGCGCAAAGGCAACTCGAACTGCAACGGCAACAGCTTGAAGGACAGCGACAGCAGGAGGAATTTCGACGACAGCAGGAGGCCGAGCGGAGACGGTTAGAGGAGGAGCGCCTGCGTATGCAACAGCAAGCAAACGCGGCAAATGCGCAACTGGAGGGCCAGCTCTTACAACAGAGGCTAATGAACGCGCAGAATGAGCTGGAGCAATACCGGAATCAGTCATACCGTGACCGTGACACACTAAATCAGTATGAGCAGGTATGTAGTGGTAAGATTGCCGAGTGATCTTTCCAGACTTCAATTAGAACACACTTTCAGAGAATACGGGGCTTGGAACAACAATTGTCCCAGTTGTCCCTGGGCAACCGCGATATGGATGCTGCAAAGGATGACCTTCTGCGTAGATTACAGGGTGAGCCGATGAGAGCTAACCAGTGCTAAATACAAAGGAACTCATAAGTCTTCATCCAGAGGAACTTGCACAATGGAAGCAAAAGTACGAAGCGCTGGCTAAGCTGTATGCTCAGCTGCGAAAAGAACATCTGGACCTTTTAAACAAGTTTAAAGACGTTCGGGATTCTGCGAATCGACAATCGGAGCAAGCCCGAAAAGAGGTTGAGAAAGCGAAATCAGACATGAAAGTGCGTTGGATAGATTCTACATGACGCAGTAATCACAAACGTTACTAACTCGTCCGTCATTCTTCTTGCTAGGAAAAAAGTAATGAGGTCACAGAACTTCTCATTGAGCGCGATCGTTTGAAAGGGGAGGTGGATCGGGTGCGGGCACAGTACGAAGAAGAGATGAGTCGATTACGCCGCGACCTGCAAGATGCCAAGGCTTCCCTGAATGACCTCTCTGCGTCCAAAGGGGCGGAGTTGCAAAACATTATTAGTCGCTTTGAAGCTGAGCGACTTGAGATGGAGAATCTGAACAAGGTATTTCCGTTGGTTCCCGCTCAGGCTGTATCCACGTGTGACGCTTTTAGCTTTCATAGGCGAAGCAGCAACAAATCGACGAAATGAGGCGAAGATTGGACGATGCAGCAGCGGATATACATCGGTCAAAGGCGGTGCGTGAGAATTTTCTCCTCTCCACTTCGCCCTTACAAGCAATGATAGATTATAAATGGGTTTTAGGCGCAAGAGGAGGACGCAGCTGTCCTGCAGGCCGGTCTTGATCAGACGCTACTTGCCCTTGCCGCACAGCAGAAGGTACGAGGACTAAAACGTCGACCATGCAGTACCAACGCATTTGTAACCTAGTTGAGTGTAGGCTGCCCAAGACGCTCAAAGAGAGCCCGATGCTGCGAATCTGCAACT